AAAACCCCTTAACTCCAAACCTTCTCTTCAAAGTAAAGAGCACACAAAAAACAAACAGTAGGACTCTCCACTGCCTGATGTTGTGACCCTGACCACAACAGCATAACATTATGTTAAAAGCCTTAACATCAGTTTCCTCGGCCTCCCAGTGTTCATCACGTCCTTTGGAGTCATGCATTTAAGGACACAGTACAGAACCTCACACACTCACAGTGCTATGTAATTCAGGTGGCATGCAAAGGTTCACATCCAATTCAATCATGCGCTGTACATGGTGCACACAGGTGGAATGGGGACCTGCCTGTTCCTGTTCTCATGGAGACAGTGCATTAATTCCATACAGGCAAGAAAGGACAATACTGTCAGTTTTAAATGACCCTTTCCTTAGTACAATGAAGATAGTTGCATTTGACTTTCTTTAGGTTTTTGTCATTGGAAATAATAAAATACTTTAAAGGGGGAGGGGAAAAGCTTGTAAACTACCGCTTCTTTTGATAACTACCAATGTGAATGTATCACTTAGAATTTATGACAGGCTGGCTCGATGAAATCGTGTACCATGATCGATGGCCATACTTAGCTATTCTGTGGCTCTTAACAGTTATGCATCTAAGAATGGATCTGAGGGGATTGAACAGTAGGTGACACCTCAATGGAAACCATGGCTTGGAACAAGCTTATACACTGGAATAATGAATGAATGTGTTAGTCCAATCCATAGCTATTGAAGGTTCACAGCCTCGTTGTAAACAGACAGGAGATCTTTTTCATATGCAAGCATAAGGGGATATCACATGGCATGCTAAACATCTAAACTTAGATTGATTCCTGGAATATCTGACTTGTGCTGCACAGAGCACAAGGCTTCTTTGATGCTCAAAAAAGTACAACCTCAAATAATCCCACTATTATAGTGCCTTTCATCCCAAAAGCTTGGGGATTGTACTTTACAAAAGTTAAAGCTAATTAAGCCTTGCACCCCTCTAATGGCTGTAGCAGGGTCATAATGCTGCCTCTGAGAAGGGATGGAGCAGCTGCTTGCCACCAGACACCAGCATACAAAAGTTCAGATAAAGGGGGGGAAACAATCCATCCTACTGGCCTCCCTGATCACAACCTGGTTACATTTGGGTGCAGTATTTACAAGCTCAGGTTTTAATGAGAAAGGGGCTCTAACCTGGAGGCTGTGTTGAGTACTGAGGGCCTCCTGACAGGCATTCAATGCCTTCCCCTCTGGTAGCAGCAGTGTAACAATGCAACAGTGTTTTCGCTCTCCCCTGCCATCTCCAAGTTGGCACTGAGGGCAACTGCCCTGGTTGTCCTGTGCTAGTTACGTAGTGTCTGGTAGTAGCTGAATATTTTCCAAATTGCCCGTAATATGTTTTAGGCTGAACATGACTTTCCAGCCCCTTGGAAAAGCTGCCTCAGAGATCTAGCATCCCTCCTGAGTAATAGTACATCTGTGCAGCGGCACCGCCTGCATTTGCATCCTGCATTCCCTGGATTAGGATGCCGCTCTATCACTTCCCTATTGCAAAGCTGTTGAGCCTGCTCCTATCATCCCTGTGTCTAATGTAGGATACACAGAACACCACATGGAGGAGAATTTGGCAGTGAAAATGCTGAACTTCAGTTGTTAGTGTGGCAGGAAGGAATAACCTTGAGGCAAAGAAAAGTCAACACTTTCTACAAGGATCCATCTGGCTGGGTAAAGACATTTTCAGAAAAAGACCTCACTGCGAATAATAAAAATCTAATGGAGCTCCAGGGATATCCCTGCTAGTTTGAAAATGCCTAGCAATGGCCTGTCTACACCTTCTATTTTATTATACGTGATGCACACCTTTATTGAAGGAACTATTTTTTGTTCAGGTGACTGCCAGGAAAATTCATCACCTGTTTCTGCCTACATGCACATTGTTAAATTGCAAACAGAACAGAGGTCTATCAATTTATTGTTAATAATTTTTGACAAGTTTCCCTGCTATCCAGTCAGCTTTTCTCGACCATGTACTCTACTGCCTAACAAACAAAAATACTTCACACCATGTAATGCATAGCTGTGCACTGGAACATTTCAGACATTTGAACTGAGTCCCTGTTGGAAAATGTCTTACAAAGCCAGGACTGCAACATACTTCTCCTGGCTTTGGATACATATACAAGACAGAACATACCTCTTTTGACCCCTGGGCACATGTATACATGACAGAACTAGGAAATATTTTGGGCTAAGGCTGGAAGCTGGTTAAGTGGCTTGGAATGTTACAATATGTCCCAGGGAGATGGATTAGCAGCCAGGTGACGCGACTGCAGGCATTAAATTGTACACACTTTTAATGCATGCTTGTGGAATATATCCCTTGCTGCACTTTCATATTGTGTGAGTGTACATCATCTCTAGACCCACTGATAACCTCCCTATCTACTGGAAGACTGTCATCCTTGTGTTGAGGGACTGCTGCCACTTGATACAAGGATGAGTAGGTGGGTGTTTGTGGTATATACACCAACTCTCCCCCCCACACACAATTTAAGACTTGTCCAGATCCTGGAAAGTGTAGAACAGATCCATAAGGTGCAGAGTCCACTCAACTCTCTCACCAGGCAAAATCTGAATTTTGTATCTTTAGGAAAGAAAAGAAAATGACACCGAGACATTTGCAATATCAAACCTTGCTGGGACTCCTCTGAGTGTATGGCAGAGCTCAGCCTTTTACCAAGGTCAGGTTCTCTTTAGCTTTTGGCTTTTTCTTCTCTTCTGTCCTGGTCTGTCAAGCCTCGCAAGCCACTTATCCTGCAAATATCCCATCAGACCCCGAATCTTTTGCAAAGCCTGAAGCCGCTGCCCACTTTCCTATTTTCTACTACTCAGTGAAGCAATGGTGAGTGCAGCATGAGTGAAAAAAGCCAAAAGAGACTCACAAAAAAGGGAGCCATATATTCAGAAGAGAATGATCCCATTCTGTAGCACTGGTTTAGTATCCTGTCTCAACCCCCAGTGCTCTGCGAGTACTGAAGTACTGATTGTAGGACTGGGGTTTTAGACTTCTGTATACCCACTACTGTTGCTGACAATACAGTTTGGGGCTCATTATCTATGGTTAGTGGTAAAAAGCATTTTAAAAGGGGAGGCTATTTTACAATTAAATAAATGATGAAGTATAAGAAACTTTTTGAAAGGTGAAAAATCGGTCAGCACACATGCACATGCACACACACACACACACGCATGCATGCGAGTTGCGAGACAAGCCATAAATCTGACACACAAAAAGTAAAATCACCAAACAAAGCTGTCTTATACTATGGTGTGGATTGGAAGCTCTAAGCTAATGAGCTCTGAAAACATCTTTCTGATTGAAGACTTCGTTAAAAACAGAATGTTTTGCCTGTAGTCTTATTGAGCCCTTGTTCATGAAAGTTTATGCATGTCTGATGCAGTTCTGCTAGTATCATTTATGGTACTATCTAGAGGTGCACCGATACAGCGGTCCAATATCAGATCAGCACCGATATAAATAAAATGTTCTGTATCGGAAATCAGCCCGATGCAGCCAATAATTTCTGATAAATGCCCGTGAGTGCGTGTGACACTGCAGCACGTAGGCAGTGAGGAGCAGAGCTGGCAATATGGGGAGGTGCGTGCAGCTGGTAAATCTGGTGTGATGGAACTGGAAGGGGAGGAAGAAGGGTAAGGGGAGGGGGAAGGGGCATGAAGGGGCAGATCAAGGCCCATGTGGTAAGGGAGGGTGTGGGGTTGGGATTGCGGCTAGGGCAGTGGGTACGCACCTGAGGCCAGGCAGGTACGGGACATTGGAGGGGGCACAATTCATCTGGTGCTCGTCTGGTGGCTCCAACCACTCACCCAGGCACAGAGGGGAGGGGGGTGCCCCCAGGTTTGGGTGGGCCGGGCTCTTCCTGGCCTGGCAGGTCTCAGGGCACCCCCCCCCATGTCCCCCAGACAAGTGGCAGGAGCAGCAGTGGGAGCTGCCAGATGAGCACTAGATGACCTGCATGCAGCGGCAGGAGCTGCCCACCCTTCCTACACCTTCCCCCCCAATGAGCCATGTCTCCGTCCCCATCCCCAGCTCACAGCTGCATCCTGCCCTGCGCTGTGCAGATCCAGGGGGCACACCTCCCCCAGCCCACAGATGAGCCACTTGCAACTCTGTCCCAGGCCTCTTGCCATCCCAGCTGGTCAGCGCCTGCCCCAGCCCCATTCCCTCCCTCACCACAGGAGCCTTTATCTGCCCTCCCAAACACCATTTCCCTCCCCTTCCACTACACCAAACTTACCAGCTGGACGCACCCCTTCAAGTTGAAGAGCTGCGTATTGGAAATCAGACTGGTATCGGTCGATATACGTCCTTAAAAACTGGCTATTGGTATCAGCCCCAAACATCTCTATCGGTGCACCCCTAGTACTATCATGCCTAGTCACTGTGCTACACGCTGTACAAAGAAATGAAGAAAAAAGATGGTGCCTGCTTCTGAATTAGCAGCTTCCATCCAAGCAGCTCTTTTAACTGCCAGTGATCTGCACCACAGACCCCGGGCTGGCTGGTAGAAGGTGAGCGTTTGGAGTGGCGGTTTCCCTGTTTCTTCACATTGCTTATTTCCTTTGTAGAACAATGCATGAATGAATTCCCACCCTTGTCTAGGCTTCTCTGTATGCGAGAACGAAGGAAAAGTTACTGCTAATGTCTGATAGAACTCGTTCAAAAACTGGTTAAAATAACATGTGAAAAATCTATTGGAAGGAAGCTGAACCAGAACATTCAATTTATGTTTAACAAGAATCCTGTGTTCTCTGCATAATTCTCTGCATAAGTCATCCTGAGGTGCTCGCTGTTTTAACACAAACGAGAAAAATAACACTTTACCTTACTGCAGTGTTGCTTTTTATTGTACTGGATCAGAGTCAAGACTCTACTCCTGTGTACAATTCCTCTCCTAATGTAGTGCAGTTCATCCCACTTCAGCATCCACCAACTTACCCTCCAGGGGACAAAGCCGTGTAACCATCTCTGGCATCAGCTTCCCTTGCTTGTGTTGACAGTATATCTCTGCAATCTCCTGCCGACACTGCTTTGACTTGGATCGGGACAGAGCTGAGATTGCCTCCTTGCCCGAGATCTCACATCTTGGCTCTTGGTCATACTTTATTTCAGGTGAGCTGTTCCCATTCTTTTTTATATGGTGCTGTCTGGGAGACCTGTGAATTTCCTTCAAGTTGCTGCTACTACTGTTCTTTACAGCATGGTCACTGAAGTGCACTACTTCATTGGAGCTCTTTCCCAGCAATGAATTCTCCTTTACCTTTTCTTCTTGCTCTAGTTTCCGTTTCAAGTGCTCCTTCTGCTTGCTAAGGGGCTTCTTCACCAGCTCAGGCTGGTGCTTTTGCCTCTGAGTCCTGGGAGCAAAGTTACTGTTATCAACATTTTCAAAGTCCTTGGGAACAGAGTTTTCATTATTGCTGTCTGTTCGCGTTTTCTCTTTTGGACGGTGGGAAAAATAGCCATCCTGCAATAGTCAAAAAGAAAACCATTACACACATTATACTACACTCATCTAATTGTATTATATGTATCATGTGCAACTTTTACATTGAAAAGGGAAGTCAATTAAAAGATAAGGAAAAAAAAAGAAATAAACATTAGAAATACAGGACAGAAAGAGACCTCTTGGATCATCAAATCCAGTCACTTGCTATTGCAAGCACAAAGCCATATAACCCCTTTAATTAATTAATACCAGGCTGTGATACCCAGATTCACATCCTGTGTTAGTAACGGGCTGGAAAGGGGAGGCTTTAGTTAGGTTCATAAGCACTTACTCATTTGGGGCTTGATGCTGCTCCCGTTTAAATCACCTGCCACACACTCATTGATGTCAACAGAGCAGGGTCAAATCCTCCTATACCTGTGGCCACTTTAAAGGGATTGTCTGCATGAATAAATGTTTGCTGCTCAAGAGCGAGAGCTCCAGAATCTGCCCTGTGGAGCAGTGCTTTCCTCCCAGAAAAGTCCACTGACTGAACTATTGTTTTACTCAGTGTGAACAAGGCTGCTAGTCTGGCTCTTTACCCTTTTCCTGATGCCACTTGGCTATTAGAAAATGGTTTGTTTTTAAAATCATGAGTGCTTTCAACATTGTTACTGACTGACACACAACAGCATCATGGCAACGCAGCCAATGAGAAAAGACAATTTGCAAGTGCTAAATAGTTTGTAGGCCTAGGGCAATTGTTCTCAACCTTCTTAGGCTCCATAATGCCTGTGAATTGAGCAGCAGCCCAATTCACTAACTCATTTACATACTGCCACATTTAACTCCTGGCCAGTGGTTGGGGATAATCATAAGCTTATCTCCTTGCACTGGAGGTGCTTATCTCCTCGCACAAGGGGAGTGAGAAGTGAAGAACATTTAACACCATGAGCTTATCTCCTTGCCAGGCAGAGAGGAGTCTACACTTGCTTCTTTTCACAGGGCCTGGCAGGGAAGAGCGAATACTTATCTCAATGCACCCCACAGCACCCGCAAAAGGAGACAATGGCAAATCACCCCAGCTGAGAACAACTGAACAAGGGTAAATGGCAGTGACAGATTCTGAAATTCCCTAAAGAGGAATCCAGCAGGTCTTCACTACAGCCAGGAGAACTACACAGCTCAAAAGCAAACTCAGTTAAGTAGCAACTGTCTCTACCATCGTCCTCCACCCCAAATAGGGAATATGACCACAGATATAACGTAAAAAAAAAAAAAAAAATTATCCAGGAAAGGCAATACAGCCAGAAAAACAGTTATCGGACACAGAATAACTACTTGCTTCATAATTTTACCCTGTTGCTATAGAAACTTATTCTAGTGTAGCAGTGATTGCCAGTGAAGATTTCTAAGTGACATTTTCTTTTGTCATCAGAGGCTATGCCATGTTCATGACAGGTCTCTGTGAAGACAACATAGGTCAGCAGGAGGCATTGGACAGTAGAGTATACCCTTCTTGTAAACTTTTATTTTTATAAACTCTAATGCCTGGTTCCCAGGACAAAGTCAAGTCACTTGTGGCTAGTGCTGACACTACAAGTGCAGGAGCCGGTCTCACATCAGCACTAGACATGCATCAGGACCACCACAAATACAGAAAAACCAAAATGAAAAGCATGTTACTGAACAATGGCTCTGGCATGGTGTTGTTCCACTACTTTCCTCTGAGGCCTAAATTTCCCAAACACAAATGAACTCAATAACTGGTGTGCCTGCAAAAGCTGTGGTGATGTACTTCACCCCAGGACTGTCACATCCTGCTTTTCCGTATGGCAAATTTCTCTAGACAGAGGAACAAGAGATGCGTCACACCTGAAAAACATGACTGTCGGGCAAGTCCAGCCTTTTGCTTCCAGTTCTGGCGAATACCATGCGATTCAAAGAAGGGGAGATAAGAGAATCCCATCCATTTGGAAAATTGTGCAATGCAATACCACATCTATCATGAGCCTTTCAGAAATCAGCTTACAACCCAAGTATTGGGCTCCACATTCAAATGCTTACCTGGCCATAGCTACATCCTGCAGTTCACATGCACATCAATCTCTACTGACTTCAACTGCTGGTGATAAAACTATCAGTCCCTCAGAGTCAACTTGTACATTACAGAAATTCAGTACAATTACATAACAGATGATGCTTCCCTTTCACACCTGTCAGGACAAAGCCAGCTTCTCTTTGCTTCTTAATGATCTACTGCTGCAGTCATTCAAATTTTCTCTAAACAGTTAAGGGGTATAATCAGGCAGGCACAAAGTAATTTGCATTTTTATGCATCTCTGTCCCTTCTCATAAGATTCCTTGGTAGAACAGAATTGCCAAGTTCTGCGCAGCCTCATGTGAGACACTGATGCAAATTAATTAAACGGCCTATGTGCATATCTATAAATGATATGCATACAACAAGAACCTTCGGCTTATGGCCAAGCATACCAGGCTACAATCAGCTGCAAAGGGAGGCTAGGTAGCTGCACACAACTTAGGAGCTGTAACCAAGAGGTGAGGTGACTGATATAGGCAGCAGGAAGCAAGGGTGCTGGAAGGGATTTGAGAACTCAACCATGCAGATGGTTGTCAGACTGCTGCTTCTTGGAGGTACGTGTAGGAAACTGCCTGGAGGCTAACAGCCTTCAAGGATGGAAGAAGAGGTGGAGGAGGCAGCAGTGCACTTGTAAGAGAACTTGAAGAGTAGACAGGTGGATGGGTGCCAGATGCTGGTGGGATATATGAGAGGAGCTTGCAGGAGGAAGGGGGAAGAGAGGAAGAAGTGAAAGAGCCTGGACACAGTAACTACCCTCATTTTTCCTTATGCTGCCACATTTGCCTCAGCAACTACTTGTGGCCTCCTCCATGCTGCTCCCTTCTGGCTACTATCTGCAACAGGGAGTGGTGAAAGGGAATGCAGTAGGTTGCCTGCTTCCCTGGAGTCTTGTTTCAGTTTATTTCTTGGCCTACTAGGAGACTTTTCAAGCCTTGTTTCGGGTTTGAACCTCCACAGGATGAGGGCAAGGGTGCGTGAGTTGGTGAGCAGCTGCACAGAGAAGTTCTGTAATGAAGGTGCAGGGGCCAACGTTCAAAAGAACAAAGGAGAGACAGGTACCGTGCTCCCACCAAAAGTCAAAGGCATGTTCCCCAGGAAGCAGGATACATTAATTAAGAAGTAGGGAAGATACTAATGAAAAGGGGAAGAAGAGTGTGCATGTAAGAGCAAGGTTATAGGAAGGAAAGAGAAATGGATGAGAAAAACCAGACTCTGGAAAAACCTGAGAAAAAGATCTATTTTTAGGAGACAAACGTGATGGAGAAAAGCCTGAACAAAAGCAAACACAGTAGTTACTTGCTTAATACACTATTTGGTGGGAAATTGATTGACAATACTGCATAATTACACAGGAAGCATGAGTGCTGTAGTCCATCACAGCGCAGCGGGTGTGGTGGAGCTTGTCTTTTGCACTCTAATTAGATGGACTTAGACTAGAAGATGACTGTGACAGGAGCAGCGCTACTGAAGCCTTTCTAGTGGTGACTCCGCCCTCCTGTTATGGGCCAACCGCCTGCTTACTCGCCTTGATCTTAATTGATTAATTGGTTGATGTAATTAGCAGGAGGCTGCCCCACTTTATGCTCCCTGGTGCCAGGGGGCGCTATCTGCATCTCCTTTTCCTCCCCTACACCGCAGCCCAAGCCTCGCAGATGGTACCGACATGGTTTTAACCTGGGCCCTGTTGTGACTTGGCCTTCTCCTTTACCTCCTTGGGGCTTCTCGCAGCCCTCCGCCCACCCTTGCTTTGGGGCTTCTTGTTCCTCGCGGCCCTCTCTCTGGGCTCCTCACTGTCCCCCTTGCTCTGGGGCTGGGGTCAATGTACCCCAAATGCTGCACCCTCTCTGGTGCCAGGGTCCCCACGCTACCATGGAGGCCCTATGAGGCCTCTTCCAACTCCTAATGGCCTCACCCGGTCCTCCGGTCAAAACAGGAAACACAAAAACACAAAGCCCCTGGGCTATAACATAAAAAGGTACACCGTCTGGCCACACAACATTCACTCCCTACTGGGAAAACACTCCAACCCCCAGCAGCAACCAGGGGCTGCTCACGCAATCAGGGTTCTCCCCTCTGTCTGCACTAGCTGAGCTCCTCCTCATTTGGCCACCAGAAGGGAGCTACCCTCCTGGCCTCCCACCTGGGCTTATATGGGCCAGGCCCTGCCCCTTCCTGTCAGCTGGCTCCCCCACGGTTATCCTGGCAACCAGCACCTGTTACTCCAGCTGCCCTGGTAACTGGCAGCTGGGCCTCCCTCTTCTTGCCACTAGGGGTCTCTCCTGAGCTGTTTTCTGCTCTCAGGAGCAGGGCACCCGAGTGGTCTGTGACAATGCCTTAAAATTTTAGGTCCAAGGAATGGACACTTCCATTTTTTCAACACCAGGGAGTAGCTATGGGAAATTTGGTATAAAACTTCCTTCAAGGGGGGCTATAAATATTTATGAACTTTTCTCCAGGCTTTTCTTGTTTTCTTTCTACTCACGGCAGGTCTAATAAAACAAAGCCAGGGCTTGTCAAATGACAGCATCCACTATAAAGAGTGACAGTAACAATTCTTAGTACCCAAGAATCACATTTCATATTCAAACCACTTTGTAAATATTAGCTAATTGTTTTTCACACCTCTGCTGCGAGGATCTATTTATTATTCATATTTTACAGACTGATGGAAGTGAGAAAATGATATGCCCAAGGTCAGAGAGAGTCAAAACTACAGCCATATTTCACCTGAGCAGTTTACATGAGTGAATTTATTATTACCAGCAATATTATTATTATTATTTTGACAATGCAGCATTAGTGCAATAGAAGCTATTCACTGAACATGAACTGATCATTTGGCTGAAAAATAAATTGAAGAAAAAGTTTTTGAAAAGCCAAAATTCATTTTGATATTCTAAAACTAAATATTTTGACTTGTTTAAAAAAAAATCTT